GCCACACATATCTACGTCACACTGAAAATTAAAGTAACACTAAAAAGTTTCCAGCTTCTCCATCCTACTGGTTTAAAACGGATCGACAACTGTCATAAACAGCCCTGCAGCAGCCAGCTGTAGTTAGAGCTAACAATGAGCTAACTAGCTAAATAAGCCACAAAGTAAAAAGATCCACATTGTTGGACAAAATCTATGCCTACTTACATGTCCAGTAGCAATAAAACCAGGTCACCATCAATCTGTGATTTCATAATTTAGTTAAATTCAATTCAAGTTCATGAAGCGCCAAATCAGGACTAGAGCCGTCTCAAGGACCTTCACTTAAGCTGTTTTTACAGGACAATAGCGTTTTCAAAACGGGATTTGCTGCGACTCCGTGGGGGGATTTTGGCATTTATAGTAGCAAAGCTGAAGCTAGAATAAACTGCCACCTTTCCAACCAAGACGGTATATAGGGAGGTCGCTGCCCCCCCCCCCCCCCCACACACACACACACACATGTGACATACAGGGTCGCGCTTTCAGCGTCAGACGGAAGACACGTCAGACTGATGAAATGTCTTTTTCAGGACCTTTAGCTTTGATGTGACCTGCTTTTTGTCCCGCTTGACGCCCCGCTCAGCCGGTGTTTTCACCACTCTGTCGAACAGCTGGCTGTCTCTCACCGTCCACGTACAAAGGGAACTAATTTGTTCGTCCGCTCGCACGGCTAAAATCTCTGTGGTCTCCGCGTCCGTCCAGCCGGCTTTCCTTCCGGCCGGCACTCAGCGCGCAGTACATGTGACTAACGGGACCACCCTCTTTTGCTGGGGGGGGCTACCACATTTGCTCCAAAGGGATTAGCGGTGCTGACACGCGTTTAGCCGTTAGAGGCGAGGGGCTCATGCAGCGATATTACTACCAAGCGAGGCAGAACGAATGCCGCAATAGTTGCGCAACGCCATGCCGGCATGGCGCGTTTATAGACATACCATTGCGGTAATATTACGCTGATATGCCGGCATGGTGTGTCCTATAAAAGCACCTATAGTAAACATTCCAATACAGCTCAGTTCATTAAGCCAATCAGTAAAAAGTTTCCTATATAAGGAACCCAGCAGGTTGCATCGAGTCACTGACTAGTGTCAGAGTCTTTACAGCAATCCTCATACTAAGCAAGCATGCAGCGACAGTGGAGAGGAAAACTCCCTTTTAACAGGAAGAAACCTCCAGAGGATCCTGGCTCAGTATAAGCAGCCATCCTCCATGACTCACTGGGGATGGAGAAGTTCGAGCGCACGCACGCACGCACACACACACACAAAACATACATACCAAGTAGTGTTTCTATTGTTACAATGTGATTTTTTAGTAAATATTCTATTTGGTGAGAGATGAACGTTATTGTATTTATCCTAGTGAATCTATAATTAAAGGGTAAACTAGTAGTAGCACATCCAACGTCAAAGAAAGTAAAATGTTATTATCAGCAGAGAGAGAATGATTAAGTGGTTAGCAGCAATGTTCACAACGATGTCCCCCTCCATGAGGCCACCACAGCTCAGCAGAACATCATTGTAGCTTTTTCTGGGGAGAAAAACACTTAGAGAAAAAATAAAGTTAACAGCTGAAATAGCAGGAAATAATGCAGTTTAAGAGCAAATTGTAGAAGAAAGTAGTAGAGTGTGGAAAGTGATCAGTGTATCGTCCAGCAGTCATAGCCTCCCTCAGCTCATCCGATGAGAGTAGGATGTGTCGATTTTCACTAGCTTTGTGCTTAAAGCTCCAAAGCAAACAACTTTTTTCTCCTTCTTTTGTTTTTTAATTCACAAATTAAAAAACGCTGAGTGCTAGCCTTTTATTAGCTACTAGCACAGAAAATATCTAACAGCCATTAAGCAGGTAAAGAGCACCCCCTAGGACACCTACTTGGCTCCTCAAAACTGTTAAGTGCAGTTTCTGGTTAGCAGAGGGCTGCAGAGTGCTGTCTCATGTGAAGTTTGTAAAGTGTCTACTAACACAATCGCTGAACCCCACGCTTTAAGGACTTGGTTAAAGTGGAAATAACTTCTACGTGTCATTTTAACATTCATGAACTCACCCAATTTGGTTCACAATGGGGAACGCTGTTGTTGATTTAGCATCCAGGAGAGAGCAAAGTGGCATCTGAGCAAGTAAAAGCTAACTGTTAGCATTAGCAACTCCACAACATGGCAGAACTCCTTTAGGCTTGTGTTATTTGTGGAGATGAAACATCAACGTTGCAAAGCAAATAGTCAGTGGTAGAGTGGTGTTGCTGTTAGCCAATCAGAGGCGAGATATTCAAATAGCATAAATAATAATGAGTAAGACTGTAAATCCTGCCCTGTCTTCTGGGTAACAACTTCTTCCTGAAACAGGAGCACCAGAGCTTTTTTCCAAAGAAAATGACTCACAAGTCATTCGTGTACACTAGAGACCACAGAAAATGTATTAAAATGAGTGAAAAAGCTTTAATTACTGTCTCTGCTAAAGTTTCACCCAGCTGTCCCAAATCACGAGTCTTCTAATTTAATTTGAAATCCATGTTTTTCTTCAGGTCTCGCATCCTGCTTGCTGACTGCTCTGACGTTAGGAGGAAGGACAGATTTAATTAGTGTAAATGCGACCCTCCTGTACGCTGGATGCTGTCATACAATCAGTCGTGTGGGGGAGGACAAAAACTCACCGGCAGCATCAACACAGGCTCAGTAATGGTTGCGTCAACAAGATTTTCCCCTGTGATGTTCTGAAGCTTGCATTCAAAACAAGCAGTGACTACAGCAAACTGCAGGCAAGAGAGATAATGATTCGACAACAAACCCGAACAAATTATTTCCAGGATGATGATTCAGAGGAATGTGGTTAGCAAACTTAGAGTTTTCAGTACCAGACATCTAATGATGACAGTAAACGAAGCTGAGAGAAGTGTAGGAAAGTCATTATGTCATTAATACTGAAAAAAAAGAACAAGATTTTGAATGATATCCTGATGACAAACGATTGTGGGGAGGCTGTGATTTTAGTACTATTGGACTTGACTGCTGCATTTGACACCGTAGACCACAATATCCTGATTGGTCGACTGGAGCACTGGGTGGAAATATTGGGCTTAGCACTCCAGTGGATAAAATTTTACCTGTCAGGGAGGAATTTTTGTGTAAGACTGGGGGACTGTTCGTCTGATACTGCTGATTTGCGATGTGGAGTGCCTCAGGGTTCAGTCTTAGCACCTCTCCTCTTTTCCCTCTATCTGCTGTCGCTGGGTGACTTGTTTCGTCGGCACAACGTCAAGTTTCACCTGTATGCGGATGACTGCCAAATCTATTTACCAGTATCATGCAATAACTCAAGTGGATTGCTTGGAGGAGGTCAAGTTATGGATGGCTCAGAATTTATTGTTCTTCAACCAGAATAAAACTGAGACTATCCTGTTCGGCCCGAAAAACAAACATGGATGTGTCCAAGGGATCGATTCTCCTTCATTAGCGCCTTTTGAGAAGGCTGTGGTCACCAACCTGGGGTGAAGTTGGATGTAGAGCTCACACTGGACAGCCAGGTCAATGGAACAATCAGATCCTGCTATTTCCATCTCAGGAGAATAGCTAGGATTAAGCCGCTTCTTTCACATAAACATCTGGAAACTGTCATCAACGCCTTCATTACCACCAGACTGGACTACTGTAACTCGCTTTATGCAGGCATCAAGCAGACCTCCATAGCGAAACTGCAGAAGGTCCAAAATGCAGCAGCCAGGTTACTGACTGGTACCAGGAGATCTGAACACATCATGCCCGTCTCGGCATCCCTACACTGGCTTCCAGCCTCTTTTAGAATTTTGTTTACATTTCTGGTGTTTGTTTTTAAATGTTTAAATGAGTTGGATCCACGTTATCTATTGGATCTGATCCATCCTTATGTTCCTGCAAGGAACCTTCGGGCAGCACAGCAAGGACTGTTGGTTGTTCCTTAACACAGACTACAATCTCGAGGGGGTCGTGCTTTCTCGGTGCTGGGGCCGAGGCTCTGGAATGAGCAACCTACATGTGTTAAACAGGCCACCACCCTCGGCAAGTTTAAGAGCCAGCTGAAAACACACTTTTATTCTTTAGCTACTTTTTACTCACGAAGAGTCTCGTTAATGGATGGCTTTGCACTTTTTTGCTGCCCCACCTAGATTTTATCTACATGTTTTTAAATGGTTTTATATGTTTTTATTTTTATGTTTATTTCTGCTGTGCAGCGCTTTGTTTGGTCCTTGGGCCATGTGAAGGCGCTATATAAATAAAGTTTAGTAGTAGCAGTAGAAGATTTGGAAAACAATTTTTTTAACATTAAAGTTTTTTGAAAATCCAATAGTAAAAAAGGAAATTAGTCAAAAAATGTTTACAATTGATTTATTTTCTAACCACTTCAAAATATCCACAATGTGATTTGAAATCTGCCCCACAGGCTTGTACAGGAGGCACTAGGCCTAATGGGTGCATCACTTCATCAGCCTCTCTTCTTACCCTGATTGGGGTTAAATAGCATGTTGCCAGCGGAAAGATAATCGCCCACGCAGTAATTATCCAATAGGAGGCTCCTACTTGCTTAGTTAAACCCAGGAGGCAGCTTTTTGTTTGCCAGTCAGTGTATAACAATAACAATGTTACTGAAAGGCAAATAGTAATAAATAATTCATGTGATCACCTGTGTGTGTCTGTAAGATTCCTCCATAGGATTGTCCATGTTGGCATGAGCCCCAGGAGATCGTAGCGGCGATCCCTGATGCCCCGCCCACAGCTGCTTGCACCAGCCCACACTTAGGGCGTGCTTTAATTCCTAAAGATAAACAAAATAAAATGGATTAACTCCATAGACACCCTAATACTTTGAGTGTCGGTATGCCAGACATCAGGGAGTGTGTTTTTGGATTACCACCCCCACTCATCCTACCCTTACTTGTAATGAGGCTTGCAGTGTTGGTTTAACCGTACTAATGTTTGGGTACCTTCCAGGACCTCAGCAGCACCAGCCGGTCTCAGCTCTCCAGCTCCAGGAGACGGTCTTCCTGCAGTGTCGTTGTCAGAAGCGACATCGTCTGATTCAGGAGACCACAGCAAGGAAAGCTGTGACTCGAGGGATGTCTCTGAAGGTATCAGACTGAATTACTCTGAAAGTCAACTGATGTATCTCATATTATAGTGAGAAGGTTCGATGTGAGGCCAGAAAGATTAAACCTACAGTAAGCCTGTGGTGGGATTCAGGCTCATCCCACCTGTGTATTATAGTGTTCACACCGTTAACAGATCTGATAGAAAACCAATTGGGCCTCCAGATGTGAGTAAACAACACGGTGGCCTCATCGTATTGACACCGGCAGCATAAATTGTGCGCTGCTATTTGGGAATTATTACTTACTGCACGTCGTGACCTTGATCAAAGTGGGCAACAACACCGTAAAACAAATCTACGTTCATTGAATGACTTATCGATCACTACAGTGAAAAGCCAGACGGCCGTAAAAGACACAAACGGCGTATGCGCCTCATTCATATACAGAGCAACAAGACCGCATGCTGACTGGGACACACATATGTTCTGCTGGGATTTGATTTCTGCACAGACATGACATGAATCCAATTAATTCCGTTGGAGGATCAATGGAGATCTATTTCCTTGGGGAAAATTGCTTTTGGATTTCCACTCAGTCAGCAGTGCTGCTGATATTTGAAAGTGGCTTAGAAATGAGACGTAAAGGAACCCTGCAGTACTGCACCGCGTTTCTTCATGCCCCCCTCCTGCTTTGAGGCGTTTTCTCACACAGGCCACCTCATAGTTAAACCCATGGAAAAGCAGAAATGTCTGGAACAGAAAGAGAAAGGCAAACTAACTTCACACGAGGTAACGGCCTATTTATTCCACTCCTATTGAGAAATCTAACTCCTCGTTTAATTCCTCCTAATTTTAACTTTAACTTGATGGCATATTTTGAACAATAATAGCCTGACAAGTTGAATGAATTTGCTCTGAAAACCGTTCAGACTTTTATAGTTTCCATCAACATTGCGCTGCACGGCTTAGGGAAATGATTCCAGTTTCCGTCCTCGACTGATCGTGACACATTCTTTGTAATGATCTGATTCACTGTTATTCTTTGGATGCGTCAGTCAGGACCGCTCTATTAAAGATAAAACTGTAATATTTTTGTCAAAACTAAAGAGGGGAAACATATTTTTCTCCTTTTTAAAAACATTTTTTTAGAATGCTAAAGTGCAGCGTGTCAAAATAAGAGCGTCAGAAGGTGCCGCCAACGCACACTGAAAGCATCGCTCTGCAGGGTGCACCAGAACGTACTTTATGATCTTTTATCACTGATTCATCATCATATAGTCTGATATACTAAACAAATACTCCCAGAAATGTATGATTTGATCAACAAAAGGCTTTGTCTGAAAGCACAAAGAGCTATTTCCGATTCTGTAAGATTTAAAACATCCAGAGTTCAGGTAGTTGTTTCATCAGAGTCAGTCCATTCACACATCTAGTAAGATTTGATAACGCTATAATAACCTGATCAGCCACTTGAAAAACGGGTGGACAGATGGCACTGAGATGCTACAGGAGCCTGATGTCCAAACAGGAAGTAAGTCTGCAAAAATGTGTTTATTCAAGCAAAACAGAAATAGAGCAGTATGGAAAATGATCCCATGCAACAGAATGAGTGGTGTAGTCATTTAAAATAGAGGTTTAATATTTGAGGCATGCCATGCTGCCAGTGTCTCTTGCCTTTGTTCTCCCATTTTCAAGGGGAGAGTGTGCACGCTAACAGAATGTGACACGGCAATTTCAATAGTCATGTGTCGGCGTTCTCGGTCTTGGCCCCTAAGCTCTGGAATGACCTTCCACTTGAGGTAAAACCAGCACCTTCACTGCTGGTTTTAGAGTATGACTCACCTTTACACTGTGGCGTTCCCTCAGCATGCGGTTTAGCTATATTTTTAGTTCATTGAGCTATCTTTGACTCTGTTCTGCCGTTTGACCTATATTTAGCTTTTATTTGTTTTTATGCATACCTCTGTTGGCCCTTGCTGGAGTCGTTGATTAGTTTAAAAGGTGTGGAACTTTTTAATGATAATTTCAGATTTTAACGGGTCACTCTGAGCGTTTGATGCAGGCTGAACATGAAAATAGTCTCCTACACCTATCTCCTGCATTAGCTTCTGATAGAAATCAGACGGTGAAGCTCTAGGATTAGAAAATCCTGACAGATCTACGTCACACTGTCACTAACATTCATGGACTCATCCATCTGGACTCACGACGGGGAAGGCTGTTGTTGGTTAAGCCTCCAGCAAACAGCAGAGAATGTCTCAGCTAGCAGAAGTTCCTCCAGACGTGTTATTTGTGGAGATAAAACATCAATGTTGCAAGTCCGCGTTTGAGCCGCATTGCTGTTATCTAATTCGAGGAGAGGTGTTCACACATCAGGAAATAAGAGTCCAAATCCTGCAGTGTTCTGCCACTCTCTGCTGCAGCAGACTTGTCCTTGCTGATCCAAGCGCTTCTGGGCTTTTTTTGCCCCGAGTATGGCTTGCAAGGCATTCGTTCATACCAGAGACCTCTGCAAGTGTATTGACTAAATGGGTTTCCCACAATTTTAATACAACTTTTTACACATTAACAACACTTTGGTTCTTCTCTTAGTTGCTGGAAAGTGCTATAGAAATAAAGTAGATGATGGTGATGATGATGATGATGATAATGATTGGTCAATTGCACAATTTTTGTGAATAATTGGAACCAAAATTAAAATTCAAATCTAGTCAATTGCCCAGTTCATGCATTTATTGGTTCCCCTGCAGTGAATCACTGCTGTGCTGCAGCGTAAAGTTTGCAAACAGCAGAGAACTTTGCCTTCACAACACTGAAGGAAGAACTTTGTTTCCCAGGCGGACAACGCCCTTTGCAGATGTGCTGCTAGCTTGGCTGATGGCTCCAGTTCAGATGTTTTTGTCTGCATTGTGCAATGTTCCTGAGCGAAAATAAGAGTTAAGTCATTAAGAGCTTAAAAAAGGAAAAGAAACAGGCATGAAGCTAATCTCTTGTTAAAAGAAGAAGAAAAATGATCTTTTTCCACCTCTGAGCTTGTCTCCAAGGTCGTTTGGAATTTTAGCCGGCGTAATCCACGGCATCCCTGGTAAGATTAATTAAAAAACAGTGATTGTTGCTGTTCGGAGCTTAGAATGGTGTGCGGACAAATCACAGTTTAAAACCAAATCAATAAAGCTCACTGAGGTAAATTAGGCTGAAACACTCTCAAAGCAGTTAATGACAAATCCTGCCAAGCATGGAGATAGAACGGGTCAATAGCTCAAACAAGCTGGATACAATCGTGTTACGTCACAAAGTCATTAAGACAACACACACACACACACGCACACACACACACGGGAGGTTCTGGATATCCCGAGAAGGAGGATCCTTAAATGCAAATGTAAATATTCAAAGGGTAGCAGGTTTTATTCATTCTGCTTGCCCCAACAGATTTAGACAAAGAAAAACTGCATGTGCGTGTCTTTTTTTCCTCCTGAGAGCAGTAAGTAACAACAGGAGCAGAACACATCAAACCAAACAGAGATTCCACAGAAAAAGCTGTTTTTCTGTAGAAAAGCCAACGTATATGTGCTTTGATTTTCAAATGTTTTTCTTATTTTTATTGCTGACACAGAAGCAGAGACAGCAGAGGTGATCTATGATGATGTTCCCAGTGAGGGACCTCTGTGCCCCAATGAAGGTCAGCGGCTACAGAATCATATTTGCTTTGAATCTTTGCCCACTCATGACCCTTGACCTGCGTGTTTTTGTTTAGCAGACATGATCTACGAGGACATACAGAGAGACTCTGCTCCTGCGGAGGCGAACAACGGATGGAGCTCCAGTGAGTTTGAGAGCTACGACGAGCAGTCGGACACTGACACCAAACTACCGACCAAGAGCAAGGTGTGTCCTTAAACCCACACACCAACCGATGAACGTGGTTTGATAACGGCATCCATATAAGCCAGGCTGGATGGTTTCCCAACGTTAAGAAATAATCGAGGAGACTGTTTCATCTCCAGCTCCTCTGTTGCTACGCTCTTTATTAATGTATGGAACTGGAAGGAAGCTGTAAAAGGCATGAAAAATGCATGAAAGGCTGTCTAGCTTTATACGAGCAATGTGAGATGAAAGTAAACAGGAGACGTTTCTGTTTGAAAAGCCTCAGAAATCCTGTTTTCTGCTGGTCTAATCACCGCTTTGCTCCAGCACGTGCCTCCTCCACACGATGGCACTGTGCGCACACCCACTTCCTGCTGCCTTCCCTTTGTGCTCCAGCAGCCGTTAATGTGACTTTACCGTGGCGGGCTTATGGAAAACCTGCAGCTGAGTCATTATTAATGTGTAGATTTATACCTAGCTTTAGCTATATTTGCATTTTGAAGTAATTTTTCTTTTTCCATGTGCGGCTGCTGTAATCTAAGATAATCTGCCGCTGAATCAATGCTTTGAAAATAAACAAGGTCAAAGGTAAGGAGAAACTTCTTGAGGTGGGACCGAAAATGAGTCGCTCAGGTGATTACAGGGAGGTGTACACACACACACACACACACACACACACACACACACACACACACACACACACACACACACACACACACACACACACACACACACACACACACACACACACACACACACACACACACACTGCTCTGTAGGCAGGATTGTCTCAGGCCAGTGAACAACAGGAAGAGTTCAGGTGACCGAGGTTTTACCATTAATGAAGAAACGCTGGACTATTAGGGCCCAGCAGCACTAAGGCAGCCTTCATCAGAATCACATTGTTTTTAATTAGTTTCACCCAATTAATTCTCCTCCAAGCCCACGCCTGAAGTTCTCTTCTCGTTTGAGGAACCCGGGAGAGCTGCTGTCGACTCTGCTTGTTTAATATTTACTCCCAACTTCAGTATAAATCAGCAGCTATCAGTCATAACCCGTCTGACCACAGCAGGGCTCCGAGCTTCCTCTCTCTGTTCTTGTGATTAATTCCCGGCTCCCTTTTACCCCCTTCTTGATCACTTTGCCTACATTTCCTTGTTTTCCTGCTTGGTTTCTCCTACTTTTCCTGCTTTGATGCAACCTGCGCCCACGCCCCTCCCTGCTCCGCCCACCCGTAGCTCTCCCCTGACGTGCGTCGGCTGAGGGACCGGTGTGCCAGGACCAAGCGGGAACTGGCCATGAGGCTGTCTGGAAACAACTACGACATCAAGGTACATCTCCAGCAGCAACATCCGGCTCCCCTACATGTTTACCTTTAGGATTGATGATCCGCCCCCAGCTGAAGGATGCTCAGCTGACACAACGGCTTAATTGGCTCTCTTTGCCATCCTTCTCAACTGTTCCTTTGCACTGTGACTTTGCTTTGAGACTATTGATTTGTCTGTTGGGCTCTTTTTATCTCCCCCTGCCTGCTTTTAATATCAAGACAAATTTATGGAGCACATTAATTATTGAACATCAGTCTGCATGCTTACTTCCACAAACATCAGCTCCGCTTGCTCCTGCTTCACAACCTACTTTTCTGATGTAGCATCGTTTAAAAATACTACCCCCCCGGGTGTGTTTAGGGCCTGTGGAGTCTGGCTGCGGGGCCTCGGCGTTGCTCGGGGTGGAGTTTGTGGTCGGCTGAATTCTCCCACGCTCGTCTCCCTCTCTGACTATAATACTTCCATGATATGCTCACAGACTCCCTGATTAGAAGCTGTACAGCGACCCACAGGGAGTCGCAGATGGTGAGGTTCATCATGAGCCTACACGGCGTCGCTCCTCTCACTCTCACTCAGAGGAGCACCACGAGTTGTCAAGTCACCGCAGCATGGCATGCATCTCCTGCTCTGACGCTCCCTTGTTGTGTCTCTGTGCTGTTCGCCACCAGGTCCAGCAGCTCATGAAGGCGGCAAGAAGCGGCACCAAGGATGGGCTTGAGAGGACCAAAATAGCCGTCATGAGAAAAGTCCCCTTCCTGCAGAGAAAAGACCAAACGGGTAATCCAGCGAACGGTGTGAAATCTTCAGTCGTAGCTTTTCTTGGCGATTAAAGTTTGTCTATTTTTAGAAGCAGGTTATGAAACTGATGTTTTGGTGTTCCTTACTTCTGGCACTTGGATATCAAAAGGGGCTTATAAATCTCGCCGAGCCAAAGTAGCTTTTGAGGTAGATGGAGTAGAAAGTTTTCTTTTACAAATCCCTTTAGGGAGAAAATGAAAAATGCCGCAGAGAAGACATCCTAGTGAGTGTAATTAAAACAAATGGAAAAGACGAGCAGTCTTGGTTTTCAGTCAGGCAGAGTGGTGGTGCAAAGTCAGAAGAAGACCCCTGCGTGGTGTTCCAGGAAGCCTCACCTGCAGCTGAGGGAGATTAGCCTCTGCTAACCAGGACTCAGGCAGCTTCATAAACCATAAACGCCAGATGCATGTCTCAAACAAACCTCTGAGCCATCACAGAGCCGTAAAGAGGACAGAGCTGCTATTTTAGGGATTGATCGAGGGAAATCTGCACAGCATTGTATTTTTTTTCCCAACCTTCCTCTGTTTTCATTCCAAAAGTCTTTAATTGGAGCGGTGGAAGCTTCTGGTGTCTGTGTTATTGTGGTTCTGGGTAAAACTGTCATGTGTCTTTGTGCCAATGCAGAGATGAGAGTGTGTAGGATCGTCTTTGTGCCTGCCTACATAGATACAGTATTGAGTTTTTTTCCCCAAAGGCTTCTTTTTCTCCCCCTCCGCTCTTTCTCATATTTCCTGTTTTTTCTTCTTCAGAGAGTTCAGAAGTTTCCTCATATTTTAGAGGTAATAAACTTAACGTGCCGCAGTGTGTCTCCAGCTGCTCTGAGATCTGAAGGCTGCCTTTCTGTTATTCTCTGTCCTTGTCACACACACTCATTCACACACACACACACACACACACACACAGCCTCTCCTAAACCGTTCTGTATGCTTCTCTCTCTCTCTCTCTTCCATTTTTGAAACCTACAGAGGAGGAGGATGATGCTGGATACCTGGATGTGGCTGTGTCAGAAGTGAAGCATCCTCCCCCGCAGTTGAGCCCGATGCCAGAGGGGCTGACGAACCACCAGGTGCGGCTGACAGCAGCCCGGTCACACATGAAAATGTGTAATAGCTACATTGGTTTTCACAACTTAGAACCTAGTAGTTTTACTAGAAAGGCTGTAAAGTTGTGAGATTGCAATGCTTCTTTTGGTGTACTGTTTTTGGGGAAGGGTTGTCACCTTGGTAAATTGAAAGTGGAGAATCCAGACATGATTGGGGACCAGAAACGGGTAATCTTAGTCCAAGTTGAGTCTAGAAAAACAAACCAGACACCTCTGATTTCTGCGTATTAAAGGTGCAGTGTGTAAAAATAAAAGTAAGATTTCTACAGTGAAATAATCCCAAAACATACTTCATTCTCAGTCTGCTGCAGGTGTTGTCACTTTTTCTCCTTTCAAAATAAAAGAAGGATGTAGCTACCATCAGTTACTGTGAGGTTGCTGTGTCTCCTGCTAGCTAACACCGCAGCACCGACATTTGTAATCCAACTATGGCTGGCAAAAAGCTCCAGAGTGTTTAAAAAACCAAAGCCTGTAACAATAGTGAGCCAAGAGCTATAATCAGGGGTGAGCCATAAGTTATTCCTTGAAGCCACGACATCTTTTTGTTTTGCTCTTATATCGAGTAAAGATGGTTAGAGGCTAAAGCTGAGCCAACAATGCTAACGGTGAATTAGAAGCAAATAGCTCTAAAAACATCTCCAACTACTTTTTCAATGACCAACAACTCAATATTACAGTGAAATGTCTGTAAAGTGAATGGTTAGTCAATCGTGGAGTTTTACTTCCTTAAATTAGTCACCCAGAGCAATAAAAGCAAGCTAGCGGCAGCCAGACGGGTAAAAACAACACTTATTACTGTAATAAGTGTAGCAAGTGCGCCGTACTGTGAAACATCCAAGAGTGCTAGCACCAGATATGACAATGTATTCATCAACTTACTGTGTATGACTCGTCTTTGCTTGTTATCTAGAGTCTTGTGGTGCTGACCCGTGACTGGTAACAGCCACGAAGCTCACAAAACAGCAGTGAGTTATTGCAGTAACCAGATTGGACCACATGATGTCATCTTTCTCTATTCTTACACACTACACCTTTAATCTTGCAATTTGACAGCTTTTCTGTGTGGAACATGCATCAGGCTGAAGAGCCTTTTGTTCTCCTTTTAAAATGACTTTATTGTGAATGAGCTGCATAAGTAAACAGAACAGAGCTGAAATCATTCATTTGTGCTCTTCTTGAAGACTTTTTTGTAACCTGCCAGCAACACACGAGTCGGTGTTGTGGCAGCAGCTTCACACATTCCCCAGTTTTTTATTTTTTAGAATAGCGCCGATATGTGTTGCCTTTCCAACACAGCATTCTTCTAACTAAACTAATAAGGGTTTGCAAATTGAGGTCAGCAGTTGCTGTGCTTGTTATTGTAAAGCGATTTATCTTACTTGCTGTGAGGTTTCAGCTGCTCAACATTTTGAGGCCTCGTGTTGTCGTGTATTTTTGCTTTTATATTGTTTCGTAATGTTCTGAAACGTTTCAGTAGCTGACAGCTTTTGACTGCAGGCGGATCGTTTTATCACCTGCAACCTTTTACTGCTAAAACATGCAGGTTTTTTCATGCGTGCATCACGAAAAATGTGGCTTTTTTTTTACGACTTGGAGCGTGTGTTGATCTAAAATCTTTACATCTGTGGTGCACACATTTGCAAATTATTTATGTATTGCACTTGTAACCCTGTTGCAGCACTTGAAATAACTTTCATTTAATAAAATGGACATTTTCTTTGAAGGTGTTTGTAACAAACTTGTACTGAAACATAATCAAGAGGAGAAAGGAAGAAAACATAAATCACAGGACTTTCCTGGGGAAGAAGCAGTGGAGACTCCAGGGAGGGATAGATATTTAATTGTCTGTTCCAGAGACACTGGCCAGCTACCTCCAGGTCCAATCAGCACCAATCAGCTGGGAACCTGCAACACACACTCACACACTCACACCCAGAAAAGTATTGGGTTGTGTTCACTAACGATGGTGTTCTCCAGCCTGGATCATGTTCTGTAGTCGATGGCTGTAGGATTAAGCTTTAGGCCGTTAAAGCAGTCATTTGTTCTTTGGTAATTATTAATGTCTATTTGTTTTAAACCCTCCATCCTCTTTGAAAAGCTGTGAGTTTTCCATCAGAGCAGCTGTTTTTATGTTGCAGCCCTGGCAGCGAATCAGCTCTCAGACGGAGGGCCTCGTTCAAACACGGCATCTCCTCACAGAGTCTTTTCCTCCTGTGACTAACGCGTGATTATGGTGTAATCCATCAACCTGCGCCGCGCTCAACAGAAAGCTCGCCACATAGCACAGTCCAATCATGTCCTCTTAGAGCTAGATTTCCTGACTGATCTGTTGTCTACGCAGGTTGTCAGACGCCATATCCTCGGCTCCATCATTCAGAGCGAGCGGAGCTACCTGGAGTCTCTGAGGAGGATCTTGCAGGTGAGCTGTTAGTCCTCTTGTCCTCCTCTGCCACATGTAATATCTTCACAGTTTAGCAAATATGAGTCGCAGTGAATAGAGGAGCAGAGATATCCATCAAATTATCAAGGTGTCTCTGCATAAATAATCCTGATAAAACAGCCGTGCAGGTTTTTTTTTTTGGCGTCACGCTGATGCTAAGGAGAAGCTGTCAGGTTTGCACAGGATGGGGTGCAGCCTCTCCTCTTTAATCTCTCTCTTGTTAGGAGGGGAAAGGAGACCTCTTATCTCATCATCACAGAAAAATAAAAGGAGCACCTACTGAAATGGAATTAACTGTGATCAATGGCTGCCTTGTGTGCTTTAAAATCTTTCATTGTCGAGATGCAACGTTTCGACTTTGCTATCCGGTGACGTTGATGAGCTTGTTACTAAGAGAGGGTCATTTCATTGAAAACCTTTTTCATCCTTTTTGTGATGCTGAAAGTCAAGCCAACACAGAGTTTCTGCACTTTAAGCATCATGTAGTGGTTGTTTAGTGAGAAAACAAGTGAGCCAGGTTAACTTACCAATGTTCGGATACAAAAAAGTTAACCCTCCTATTCTCCAGGAATATTACAAACATGTTTCACCCTTGAGGAGCGATTCTAGGTCACGTATGCATGCACACACACAGACAAGCATGATTTACATATCTAAAACAACTTGGGGTCAAATGGAGCCCAGAGGAACACTGATTTATGTGAAATGTGTACAGCCCATTGAAAAAATCATCATAAAATTGTATGGATAATCATTTGTCCCCATTAAAGCCATACAATTCAACTTTTTCATATTTTCAACCCTCCCACTGTCCAAATGGGTGTGACCCCACGAGGAAAGTTGACCATTGAGCAGGGTTGATGGTTTATCCCTTGGGTCCACATGGCAGGGGTGAGGAGTGAGCACCACCTCACCCATGCCACGTGGACCTCAAGGGATAAACCATCAATCCTGTTCAGTGGTCAACTTTCCTCGCGGGGTCACCCATAAAGACAGTGGGAGGTTTAAATAATTTCCTTGAGCCAGTATGTGCTGAAATGACCCTTTAAATGGTTAATGAAATGTCACTCTACCACCCTCTGTGGCCAGAACACCGCACTTGCAACTTCAGAGTTGCCGGTCCAGTCCCTGTTGGACTTGATAAAGTGGAGCCGACAGGCCAGCACTGGAGTCTGTTTCCAGCATGTTTCTTGCATGTTTTAGATTGTGAGTACAGCAGATTTAATGTTCCATTAGTCATCACATCCTGGTGAAATTAATCTCATCATCATTTTATTTATAGAGCACATTTAAAGTCCAGCATGAGAGCTGACCAAAGTGCTTCACAAGCAAAAAACCAAAATAAAGCAAAAATAAACACTTAACATTAAAACTAAAGCAATACGAACAAATGACAAACCAAAAGCCAATCCATTGTAGTGAGTCTTTAAACAAGATTTAAAAATCACCAGAGAAGGAGCCTGCCTTACACTAAGCGGCATTGCATTTCACAGCTGGGGGGCAACATAGATAAATGCTCACTCTCCCCGTGATTTATAGCACCCTGGGAGTGCAGAGGAGGAGGTGATCTGCTGACCTCAGCGAGCGCTGCAGAACATAGGGGGTGAGCAGATCAGGAAGATATACAGGTGCTAGGCCATTTAAAACCTTGCACATAAAGGCCAGAAGCTTAAATTGTACCCGGAACACAACCGGAAGCCAATGTAGATGTACCAGGACTGGAGTAATGTGGCTACATCAGTTTGTTTTTGTCAAGAACCTAGCGGTGGCCTTCTGGACGACTTGTAAACCATTTAAAGCTGAACTTGGAGCCCCAATAAGGTGTGTATTCGCAGTCTAAACGAGAGGTTATAAAAACACGTGAAACCAATTTCAAATGCCGTTGTGTTAAAATTCGTCTAAGACGAGCCAGACGACATAGCTGATAAAAGCAAGACTTTACAATCGAGTTCATCTGAGCAACCATCGATAGGTCAACATCTAATTTTACCCCAAGACTTGTCACATATCATTTGGGGTTAAAAATTAGGTAAAGATTGGACTAGAAGCCAGAGGGATTTCAAGGATTAAAAACGATAGACTCGGATTTAATCTCATATAGTTTGAGGTAATTGGCAGCTACCAAGCCCCCACAATGCGACAAACCCGGAAATGAAATAAATTGCAGTTCCACCCTCATCCGCTGGGGGCTGGTGTCAGAAGCGAGCAAATCCTCATTGACTCCCATGTTAAAATTACCAATTTCACAGCATGTACTGTTTAACCATGAAATTTAAATGTAATAGGGTAAAACCCAGTGCATTTAACATAATGCTGCGGTTTAGAAAATGGGTTGAAATATAACATGTTGGTGGAGCTGGGTTCTGACTATCGGCTTGTGGAGCTCTCGGGAGACCAATGTTTTCCACCCGGTTCTCCCCTCCCCGCAGCTCGGCGCATCTCTGTCTGATCGTGGCTTCTGTCTGCTGTGCGGCCTGCTGGCTGGTTTTCCCCGCAGCTCGGCACATCTCTGTCTGATTGCGGCTTTGTTTGCTGTGCGGAATGCCGGCTGGGTCTCCCCGCAGCTCGGCGCATCTCTGTCTGATCGCGGCTTCTGTTTGATGCACGGGCTGCCGGCGTGTGGAGCTCTGGGATGGAAACCTTTCCACCCGGTTCTCCCCAGCGGCAGCTCTGCGCATCTCAGATCGCAGCGGTGCTTGTCTGCTGTGCGGCTGCTTGCTTGTGGAGGTCTCTGAGACCTCTGTGGAGATCTCTTGAGACCTCTGTGTTCCACCCGGTTTTACCCAGCAGTCAGCCCGGCGTATCTCTGACTCAGAAGCTCTGGGGTTGTGCACAGTTAACTCCGGTTGTAGCTAGGTTGCTACCTCTGTTAGCTTAGCTCCCACCTCCGCGTTAGCTTTGAGTTAGCCAGGGTTAGCTTCAGTTTAGCTTGTAGCTAGTTCGACCGGGTGTCGTCAGTTGATCCCAGCCTTACAGCCCCACCCTCAGCTCCTCCTCTCTTCCCTTTTTTGGAATTGTCTGGGCTTGACGGAACCTGTGACACGGTCAAAATGGCGTTGGTGGCCACCTCCCATTTGGCCTCAAAAACGTGATATTGGAGCCTATGGAAAGGAGATGTCCAGTATATGTATGTCGATGGCAGCTACCCAACCCTTTACGTCCTTCAGGCATGCCATGATACAAAAGTCCACATTATATCTAGTGCCACTCATATTTGGCTGTCGGCATGAATCTGGTAGTTGATACCATGCAAGATAAAAATTTTGCTCATGGGTAGAAGATATATTGAAAAAAGAAGTGACCCAAGGACAGAGCCCTGCGGCACACCCCATGGCAGGAGATGAGAGATAGATGTACAGTCCCTAAGCTGGACACTAATTGAACGGTTAGATAGATGAGAACAAAACCATTCCAGGGCAGTCCCCGTCACCCCCACCCACTACCTAAGCTGGTCCAACAGAATGCCATGGTCAACAGTATCAAAAGCAGAAGACAGGTCCAATAAAAGCAGCACTACCCGAGACCCAGAATCAGATGCAACTAAAATATCATTAACTCATTTGCTGCCAGCCGTTTCCTGATCGGTAAAGCCCTTTGCTGCCAGTGTTTCTCACCATTTTTACTGGTTTTTTAAGAGTCACAGAACATTGCGCGCTAGGATGATGTCGACGCCAAAACAACCAAAACAAAGCAGAGACTCACCTCTTATATCAGGAAGAATCCGCGTGTTTCAAGCTTTATCCGTTCTTCTGTAATCCGTTGTTGAATTGTGATCGGCAGAAGCTTTTCCGGTTCACGCCTCACTTTTTTCACAGCAGCGGCCCAAAACGATCTTCCAACACATGGATTTTCTTCTTCCTTATCATGTCATGTGTGACGTATGCGGATGAAGATCACATGATGAAGTTCCGATGCGCACACAGTAAAAAAATGCAAATGAAGACTTTAGTCGTCATTGGCAGTAAACGGTTGGCTTTAAAATAATGACTTTAGTCGTCAATGGCAGTGAACGAGTTAAGTGCCGTAATCATGGCAGATTCAGTACTGTACTGTGGCCTAAAAGCAGACTGAAAAACATCCAACAGTGAGTTTTTGTCTATTTGTGCAGATAGTTGCACATAAACAATTTTCTCTATCATCTTAGAGACAAATGGTACTTTGGTAATGGGTCGAAAGTTCTCAAAGATGGAATGGTCCAGACCAGGCTCTTTCATTACAGCCTGGAAAACCACAGCCTTAAAAACCTTTGGGAACACTCCAGTGCTAAGACTAGTGTTGACAATATTCTAGAGTACAAGACTCAGTGTAGACACCGAGTCACTCACTAATTTAGGAGGGAGGCGGTCCTTGGGCGGACACTCTACCACTAGGCCACTGAGAAAGTTTGTTTCATGTAGAGATGACTCACTCCTGTAGAAACTGATGAAGGCTGAGGAGACATTTCAGCAGTCAGATCAAAGTGTTAAAAAGATGAATGCACAGCGAGGAGAGGCTTCCCTTTTGGTTTTACTAACGGGCACTAGAAGGTGCTAAAAGCAGGCCAAAACGGCATAGTATCCCTTTAAATTAGGAAAAGTTATTAAATAGGAAGCAAAAGTAAAAAAGTTAACTTTTATTTTTTTATTATAAACATTGAATGGGGCCAAATTGACCCCAAGGATATTTGAAGATTCACAGCTGCTATAGCGAATCTACAGAACAAGCTAGGTTTTGAATATAAACACGGTCACAGAATGCTCACCCCACCCCTCGGGTATCTTCTGCCGGATCCGGATACCTGCATTTCAAGAGGAAACGATATAGTGCTAAACACCAGTCGCCATTATGTAGTTCCAAATGTCTTTTGTTGTCCGTGACTTCAAAGGGTATTTTTCTGTTCGGGACTCTGGTAGCTTGTCCTAAAATCTGTTGCTAAACACACGAGCATGTAATGAATGGAGGACCCAGAGAAGCGTGACGGTTTGGTGAGACTAACAAGAGGATAGTCCAATAGTTGCTTTCAGTCCCAAACGTGGTATTTGAAGAGGTTTTTAAACAAGAGAACCACTTCATTAATATTTTTCATTTTTAATTATTTTACCTCCACAATATATTTATAGCTATACTCTGTTTGAACGTTTTTAAGAGGCATAAAAAATATTTTAAGCTAATTTGTTTTCCAAATTTGGCATTGTAGCTTTAAGCTCAGCAGTCTATCATCCCATTAAACGTTTATTTTTAACTATTATTACTATTTAGCATTCTCAGTAATACCAGCTTTTTATGTTTGTTTGATCTCAGGAATATCATCGACCCTTGATTGAGGCTGATCCCCGCATCCTGAGTCCAAGGAAGATCCGACCCATTTTCTACCGGGTCAGAGAGATCACCCAGTGCCACTCCATGTTTCAGATCGCTCTGACCTCTCGTGTGGCAGAATGGGACAGCAGCGAGAAAATCGGGGACCTTTTTGTTGCTTCGGTAGGTGTGGTGTTTATGTATTCATTTATGTAAAACAGGAATGGAACTTGCAAATTATGGCTTATCTTTTATGTGAAAATATGGGCGTGCAGCCGGCGTGGATGTATGTGTTTATTTTTCTTTGTGTCTGAATGCAGTCGGAAACTTTGTGTTGATGCAATCATTTTCTATTCCTGGCATTTCGATCAAATCTCAGACAACAATCTGTGTTAGCACAGTTCTGATGAGCAAACAGGGATAGTTTGCCTCAACCAAGGAGTCAATTACAGTTATAAAAAAATAAATATCTGCATCCAGATCTCCCAGGCATATAGATGTCACAGTTTGTAGGAATAATACGGCGGTGTTCATTTGACGTTTCCTTTGTGAGCCTTGGAGATTTGGAGCATTCATATGGTTGGCTCATTATTTCCCCATTAGTCGATGGGGCTTGCTTGACTCTCTTGTATGCTAGCTGTTACACAGCTGCTCCATTGATACCCTTCAGTACAATCAATTGAAGCTGGGTTTGACAATGGAAGTATTGGGATCATGCACGGCCCCCATTAGTCTGCATGCACGTGTGTCGGTACCTGCAGAGCAGGCAGGGTCCTGAGGGAAACGCACAGAAAAGAGGGTTAATTCCTTCACGCAAGCTGCCAGTTTCCCATTACTCCCTGCATTGTTGCTATCAGCCGGCTGGTGTAGGTGTAATTGAGGGGAGATAATAAATATTTACAACAGCGACATACACTCCCACACACTCTTTCGCCTCATCCGTCTTTGTTCAACTTCCTAAAGGCTCATGAGGAAAATGTGTTTACCTTTCCAAGGAAAAAAAAACCAGAATGGTAAACAAGTCAATTTTAATTCACATGCATATGTATTTCTGGCTTATTTTTCTTGAATATTATCTAAAGATTGTGTGAAAGGAAAGTCAGTGAGTGCAGGGGAGCATGATGGAGAACCGTGAACAAAAAAATCTGCTTATTTGTTTATTTATTACAGTTTTCCAAGTCCATGGTGCTGGACATCTACAGCGATTACGTGAACAACTTTACCAACGCAATGGCTCTCATTAAAAAGGCGTGCATGTCCAAACCAGCTTTTCTGGATTTTTTGAAGGTGAGTTCTTCCTCTTGTTGCACCAAACAGAATTTGCACATTTTAGTTAGTTTTTGCTAAGTTAAAGAAAATGTTGGTAATTATTACATTTTGCTCTTGTTTGAAATGTCTTGGACAAAGTTTTTGATCAGATTAGTTTCATCAAGTTCCTGAGTATTTTTGTTTGCGTCCTCTTGACCCCTGTGCAGCTAAGACCAGAGGCAAATGCCAATTGACCAAATTTATTGCTGCAAACATCTCAAAATCCTAAACTTATTGAGACATAAGGACAAAAATATGCACCACTAAAAAAGCAACAAGAGGAAAATGCAGACTGGACAGATTAACTGAACTTCTATTGAATTAAATTATTTCGGAGCAAACGTTAACGTACTCCAGGCACATTATTCAGCAGTAGGAGTCTCTGACATGGTCAAATGAATATTAGTTCCAAAAGTAAATAGAAATAAAACAATTTTTGGCCACAAAACTTTTTTCTGACAAGTAAATGTAACGATTATTTGTGAAAACAACTACAAACATCCCGCCAAAAATATCAACATAAAACCTTTATTTAATGAAATTATTCGGCAACGTAGAGCTGCCACCCATGCAAAATAAAAATCGATCCATATCACGTTATAAAATCTTCACTTCATTGTTCTAACAATGTAGTTTTCACATTCCTGCATGATGTTAACACGTTAGAACATGAGATGATACTATCTGAAGATGAGCTCATCCACAAGCTGGTCGTGGGAAACACGTTAGAACATTAAAGCTATGATATTATAACATATTATTGCTCTTATTATCTTTATCACGGGTGGTAGCTCTAGGCTTCTGTTAATTTAAGACTAGAATAACATAACCACCTGTTGATTTATCTTATTTAGTTCCTTTAATTATGTAAAAAGAACGAAAATGACCATGTTTTAAACATGTATCATATTTTGGGACCAGGGCAAACACGCCACGTGTATGCTTAAATGGGACAAAGCTAAGCTGTAATTAGGTCAAACACCTTGGTATTTCTTTTTCCATCATGCCATGCAGATGCTTTGCTGCATCCGATGTCAGGCGGATGAAATCTGAACTCAACCGAGGTGTTTTCGAGCAGAATTTGTTATCCAGTGTCAGAGAGCAAGGCTTGAGGCATGGTTCTCTGATCTTTGAACAGAGCAATGACCCAGAGCACACATCCAGCTGCAGAAAAGAGCGGTTGAAAAGGGCAGCAACAAATCTTGACATCAATTCAACCAAAAACTTTCGAAAAGAAACGTGAAAATGCAAAAAGGCCTTCTGCACACTGTCGGAGACTTTTGACTGTTGACTACCAAAGTTTTGTTGTGCAGGTCTCAGTGTTTTAGATTATAAACTTTTTTAAAAGTGCACTGAATAAACACAGCCAAATGAGACCAGCACTCCTGCTCTTAACGGATATATTTACTGACACGGAAAGCTTTAACACAGAGTTGAATGAATTTTTGTGAAGCCTTTCACACTTTGGTTTGGAGATACTGTAAGTTTGCTAGAGTTTGAATAGAAAGAATGGTTATTGAACTTGCTGGAGATGCCTCACCCATCTTGACATCAGTGGGTAGATGTGCCTAAAGCTAGAGAAAGTAATGTAACACATTATTGAGCAAAATTAGCATCAGGGACAACTCCATCAGTTTTACAATGCTGGTAAATGCTGCAGATTTCTTGCACTCTGGAAGGTTGCTTGGCAACAAATGAGCTTTTATCCAGTGGGGTCAGTGACATAACCAGAAATATGTTTTAAAGAACAAAATCGAGTATTTCTGATCTGTCTTATATTCAACAGCTAGATGTATTGTTAGCGAGTCACAAGATATGCGTAATTGTTTTTTTCCATCTCTAAATGAACAAAATGTGATTGACTTACATAATTACACCTGGAACGGATGACAGTCATGAAGCAACTGAAATGTTTCAGCTGCTGTCTCAGTATTTATTGGCAGGCAAGGCAAGACATGGCAGCTTTAGTTATATGGGATATTTCACACACAGAAGCAATTCAAGGAGCTTAGCCCCAAACAAGAATATGTCCAATAGTTTCCTGTGCATGTGCGCAGGGCCGGCCCAAGCTTTTGTGGGTCCCTAAGCACGTATTTCTTGAGCCCCCCCCCCCCCCCCCCCAAACCAACACCAGACGATTCATGGTTCCTAGGCTATGTTTTGTGTAAAATGCCCACTATAATTAGCAATTTTTAAATTTAGCTTGCATCATACCAGTATTATTATGGCATATTAAGAGTAGCTAACAAGAAAAAGTTCTTAATTGAGTGTTATTTAAGTGTGGTATATTAATTCAACTGTTTGAAAGTAACATTAGGAGACAAACACTGAATATACCTTAAACGAGTTAACTACCCTTAGTTTTTAAAATTTGAAACTGATGTGTAAATTGTGCAAAATGTGAACTCACTGATAAATAAAACCAAATGACACAATAGAAAAATACTATGTCAATAATTTGCATGTGTAATAAAAATTAGGTAGAATTCCATTATGTAAAGATAATGAAAAATATTCTCACACTATCTTGGTGCTCTTTGGGGCCCCCTGGTCGTGTGGGGGCACCCAAGCAGTTGTGTAACTTGTATATGCCTAGATGGTTCTTCATGTACGTCTTTTTTTATTTTCCATTTCCAACATTCAAACATAATAATATCTCCATAGTTTGAAACGAATACTATTCTTTGGAAAGCTGTTGTTGAACATTCTGGTTCTGCCAGCTTCACAAAAGGATCCAACTAGACTAAATTAAGACTGCAGACGTACTTGTTTCTGAACCTGAAACTCTGAAGACTTGTGCATTGAACTTTGCCAAGATTTTCCTCCTCATTTAGGCAGCTGTGCAGACAGCTGTCAGAGCCTTCTAGTTGCATTTATAATCAGTTGTTCTGAGTTTCCTTCATGGAGAAATTCAGAGGCAGATAAAAGTTTTGTCACCCCTCCAAGGAAAAATCTGATTTGATTCCTAAAAGGAGATCAGTGAAAATTATTGCATGGAT